CATTTCAGACCACGTGCCATTCCCTTACAGTATAATTTCTTTGTTAAATGTTTGTGCACAAGAAGACACACGAATATGGATGTAATTCAAACAAAGAATTTCATTCTCAAGAGAATTGCACTTGGTCTCGAATAGGAAATCATGAAAATCCTTCAAAATTCAAAAGAGACTGATTACGGATTCATATGGCATGGGATCTTGGGTAGGAATCATCCAGAAATCGAAAGTAAATCCCACAATTCTATGCGATAGGCGTTGGATACCAGTCTTCTCTAAAATAGATACATCATCCAGTAGTCGTTTTCTCGTCCCTCTACCATCCTTTCCTTTCCCCAAGGTTTTTCTTTATCTGCCCAGCTTCCAATTCATCGTAGAGCTGCTGGATTTTGACATCAAAATAAGCCGCCATTGCTTGTCGCTTTACTTTCATTGTCGGTGTTACGAGTCCTTCTTCGATGGTAAACGAGTTTGGGCTCAGATAGATTGCTTTAACCTGGAAAACGAAACATATTTCTGTGGTTTATATCGAGATTTTCTGTTAAAAAATCAATGAGTAATGGAAATAAGCAGGGTTAGGAGCCATAGGTGATGCGCGTTGCTAGTGTGTCATCTCTTACGGACAGCTGTGGTTATGGTTCGATCCTCGGACCTGTCATCCCATGTAATGCGGGGTTGCTTTAGAATAGAGACTCACCTAAGGTTTTGCACCATCACGTGCCCACGCTCATAATTCAGCTTGGGCTGCCTGTGGCTAGACAGCAGAACAATAAAATCCTTTTGCTCTTTGGGAATTGAATTATTTTTCATGTGTGAAAGGAATGTATTGTTCCTGCCATCCAATATGTCTGCCGTCAAGTCATGATGCAAAAACTCTATTATTCGTTTTCTTTTATGCTTAGATGGTTTTTCTCTTCGTTTTCTTCCCCCGTAAAATCTTTCAAATTCCAAATCGATCTGGAGTCGAACGCGCTCTGGCCCGGGAAACTGAGTACCAGTATTCACTCTTTGGGTGATCGACGTGAAATAAATTCACAGCTTAAAATAGTCACCCTTTCTTTCGTCTGAACAATGACGAACAATACACTTGCTCCTGCAAAAAGTACGGAGAGGGGTGAGTGCGAGCTTTTTTTAAAGACTTGCCTGTTCTAAGGAGTTGAGCTTCGCGTCCTTGCCTCTAGTCAACATGTCATCATGGATCAGCTTACGTATTGTCTTTAACATAATATATATATATATATATATATAAATTAATGAAATTTTATTAAAAAATTATATGTAAATTATCATAGTGTTATATATTATTATTACTATTTATTCATATATATTTGTATGTCTTGTATGCTTTTTATGATATAGTTAATAAAGACCAATTATTATCATTATTATTATTATTACTATCATTATTATTGTTATTATTATCATTATTAAATAAGAAAGAATGGATGGATGAATGGATGGATGGATGGATTGATGGGAAAAAAGAAAGAATTTTTCGTTTACTAAAAAAAACAAATTCATTAATTTATTCATTATTTTCAAATTACGATTAAATGTTTATTAATCTTGATTATTTCTTAATTAAGTGACGTCACAATAAATTAATCAATTACGTCACAAAGAAGATACAACTAATTGATTTCATCAAGTTGCAAAACGTTTTGAGAAGAGCGCGCTTAGAATCAAATCAACATGTTTTCAGCTAAGAATGTGTTATTGGGAAGCCTTGCAATAGGAGGAGTAGCCGCTGCAGGATACGTGGCTTATAGATATTACAGAAATGGAACCAAAAGCTTGTTTGAAGATGTTGCAAAGATCTTAACARAGGATACGAACCAGAAAATCACGGCTCGTCAAAATGAATCGAAAATCGCAGATTCTAAGAATGAAAGAGCACAGTCACCTTCAACGTCGGAATCGACGACTAAAAGTCATAGCAATCAGTTGGGCAAACCTGTAGAACTGAATGAATACCCCGAGATCAAAGACACTTGCGTTCAAGAGAGAATGAAAGTAGACGCCCCAGCTGAAGCAGATATTTCAGAAGAAGAATCTGAAGAGTCAGAAGTGGAAGAAGACGGAGACATGTTACAGGTACCAACTCCAAGAATTTTTGGTCTACAGCATGTAAGGACTGCTGAAGAACTGGATGTGACCTTCCAAGCTCTGGCTGATTACTATTTCAATGAGGACAGGAGTGAGGAAGAATTAAGAGCAGCCGAGCAGGAACTTGACTGGGCGTGGCCTCTGGTGATGGACTATAGGAACAACGATTCAGTGGTTCCAACAGCAATGGAATCGATGGACGAGGAGGAGTTTTCATCTTCCTCTTTGGATAAAGGATATGAAAATGGACTCGAAGATAGCAGCTCAGATGGAGTAACATCTGGCATGATGAATGATGGTAGATAATGTTGGCCAAGACTACGATCCCTCCTGCCACGACAATGATGGTAGATGATGTTGGCCAAGACTACGATCCCTGGCTTCCTGCCACGACAATCCCTGGCTTCCAGCCACGACAATGATGGTAGATGATGTTGGCCAAGACTACGATCCCTGGCTTCCTGCCACGACAATGATGGTAGATAATGTTGGCCAAGACTAATGGAGGGTGCGGATGGTGGCCACGCATAGAGATGAAGAAAGAGCTTCTAGTCTACCATATTCCTGCATGGAAAGTCTGCTGCTAGCTACTAGCAAAGTATTTGACCAGCTCCAGCTTTGCTTTAGTAACAATACTAGTTGAAGTGGTTTAAAGTAGCACATTCTGAAGCAAAAGTAGGGGGTCTTATCCGCCTGACATTGTTGGCTATCAATGGTTGCTCAACACAACAAACGTAGCCTTTTAAGAACATTTGAAAAGTGAAGATATAATTTAGAAAGAAAACCTCAATACTCATACTTTTATATTCTTTTACTTAATCAATCTCCATTTTTATCTGACAGCTATGCTATGCTGTTTGGAGACTGACTTGAAATCCGTAACACCTGTTCTCTGAAAACCAAAAACATTTAAGATACTAAGCAATATACCTTATATACCTTATTGTAAGCCTTGTTTTATTTATAATAAAATAGCTTTAAAAGCAACAGAAACGACAGTTTTGTTTTATATCTTCGTTGTACTGTTAATTTGATAAAAGACGCAAGCTACTTGAGGCTGTTTGCGGAAAACTGGATAACTTGTGATTGACATAGAAAGAAGAATAGTAACAAAAATTAAGTCACCCTACAGGATATAGAAGTTAAACACATTGAGCATGCTAAATCTAGCTGGAAGAAGGCGCCGTTTCTATGGTTAAAAGCTGTGTTTACGTACGTGAGCGCGCGTCTTGTCACGCCCGCGCGCGAATATTACCTCAAAATTTGATTGGCTATGAATTATGAGTATCAAAAGAATATTTTTGAATCAAACTTTTCTATAGAAAGTTTCTTTAACTTATTCTGGTCTTCATCTGATTACCTGACGATAGACGACTTCCTTGAAGCGCGAGCAAATTTTTTTTTTTTTTTTTTTGGTCAGTGTTTATAAGAAATCTTTGGACACCAAAGAGCTATATGTGATTTCTACAACCCTTGAAGATTTTGTCTGAAGTGAGCTATATTTTTCAAAAAGTCATAATCCTACTCCCGAAGTAAGGAAGAAATTTCAAAGTATTTTTTTAATTAACATAATTTCTGAGTTTTGTTTGTGTTTTCCTTAGCGCGCGTAAAATCTTGACCACGAATGCCTCGCTTTAAAATAGCGCATCTCCAATAACTTCTACGCGCATGCATTTGTTACCCTTGATAAATCCCCTTCCCCACAAGTGATATAGCTGCCTATCTTACCTGATTCTGGCAGAGCTGTTTCAAGTCTCCTTGAATCCCTTTACTTTTTGCCAAGGCGAACAGCATCTCTTGATCAGGAACCACGACACCGACGATACATGACTGGAAAAAAACAACTTAATAGTAAACTATTCATCACCGCAAGTACGTACAGCGGGGTCGAACTGAATTAAAGCAATGGCGGGGGGGGGGGGGACCTTATAATTAGGCGGCCGCTATACAGTTTATGGATGACCCCGGAGCACAGCTCTAACCAGTTTGGATCAGTCAAATTAAGTCGGTTTGAGAGAAAGGCGGAAAAAACGCCCGGAGTCAGAAAGAGTACCAATCAACTCAGATCACATGGGGCGACTGCGATTTGAACCCCGGCCGGATCTCAGAGATGAGAGGCAAGCGTTTTACCATCACGCCATCCTGAACACGAGGGTCTTCATTTTACTCTTCTTCGCTGTTTACCTCATTACACAACATTCGCAGACTTGGCCGCATAACGTAATTACTGCGACGTGACAATGAGTATTCAGTGAAGATATATTACTTTTCCATTACTTTACCTTTAGACTGTACCCATGTACAAATACTTGTGCAACGTAAGGGCTTCGTAGGTAGGCATTTTGGATCTTCTCTGGTGCTATGTACTCCCCCTGAAACGATTTATAACCAGTAAAGACGTCGTACACGAGACTGAAAGATCCGGGGGTGCTGGCTCACTATCTAGAAACTTACCTGAGAGAGCTTGAAGATGTGTTTCTTGCGATCAATAATTTTTAAAGTCCCATTCTGCAGATAAAAATGAATTATTAAGTAAAACTATTTTAATAATCCTTTTGGCTTACCTATATTCTTCAGCACTAACATCACGCGTACGCTGATTGGTCGAAAACTGTGCTTTATTAGTGAACGGAGCACAGTGCTGACGCCATACGCGCGCGCGAAGTGCTGCTAAATCCTGCGACCGTCTTTCTTTTTGCGTTCCAGTTTTCAGCGTGCTTTCCGGTTAAAATGCCTCTTCGGAAAGGCTTGATGACAAGAGATTGCACTCTATTTGTTGTTTTTTGTTGTTGTTGTTGTTGTTGTTGTTGTTGTTTTTCAGTACTTTTTATCTAAATTGTTATAATTTCTGTTTATATGGTACTGCGACTACTGTCTACCCAAAAGGTGTTTCCCAGTCCTCGCGCAACCAGTAAGCGCCCAGTCCCCACTCGATAGTGTTAAGCTAAAGGGCTGTTACCTCATTCCACTGTCCGATGTCCCCAGAATGGAACCACCCACCATCATCAAAGCATTCAGCGTTCTTTTCTGGATTCCCAAGGTAGCCCTTGAACACGTTTTGTCCTTTCACACAGATCTAAAAATTATCGAACAATTAACACTTATTGACTGGGAACGAGGGGAGCAGTGTTTTGTGGTGGAACATCGTCGTCGCGGGACCACAAAACACATTGCTTTCCCGAGGTTCCAGTCAATAAGTGTTTTATTATATACCAGTGTCAAAGGAAAAAAAAGCAGTTATTTGATTTTTTGATTATTTGATTTCGAAAAACGTAGAAAAACGTAAATTTCTGTGAAAATCACTTCAGGTATTGTTACCGGCCAACAACACATTGTTGCCCCCTGAGAGCTCTTGCCAGGGAAACATCGAAACTTGTTCACGTTCACGTGATATTCTCTCGCCCAATCGGAGTAAGATAAAAATGGACTTTGATAGTTGGTATATAACAAAGATGATTATAGACTTTTCTAGGGCTCGTGCCCACTAGGTCCATTTTAAATCGATCTAGTTTGGATTAGATTCGAGATCAATCCGAACTCAGTTTTCGAGAGCGTTCACACTATAAACAACCATAAACGTAAAAAAAGGTAGTCTAACCAAAATTGGGTGCCAAAATATATAAGGATTTGGAAACTAGTAAGGGCCACATTAAACTATGGCTCTTTTTTTTTTCTCATATTACGCTATTCTTCCGTGAAGTTTCTTCACCATATCCATACTTGCTTTTAGGTGACAAAACGTCGACCTTGTCGTTCGACTTTTCAACCGTTTTGACGTCATTCAGTAGAGTAGACTGTGTGTATGCTACTAGTGAGGTGCGATATGCAGAATATACACATCTATTGTGTACATATAGACATAATAGACACTAGACAGTCAATAGCCATCTGCTGCGTATAGCAGATAAACTTTGAAATAGGTCAAATTCACTACATGATGCACATCCCACATGGAAAGAAGTGAGTATGAGTTCAAAGCCATCAGCGTCACAATCAACATTTTTGAGTATGCTGGTCATAGCAAGGGGTTAATCATCTTTTGCAAGTAAGCTCACGATTGCCGATAGTTGGTGAAGTTTTTCTTTACAAGTCGGTGTAGAAATTCAAGTCCAAGATCTGAGATTCACAGTTCAAGATTCAAGACTCAAGATTCTCAAGACTCAAGAATCAAGATTTCTGAAGTCAAGAG